TGAAGCAGCTCTGGAGTTCTCTTTCATTAGTCTCTCACGAAGATCAAAAACATGTAGAGTGCTGCTTGCAGTGTCATCCAGCGAAAGGCAGGCTCAGAAAAGCATCACACTGCGTCCTCACCCCGATTATTTCCGGGATCTGGCACGTGTGACTTCTGGCTGATCCCCAAAGCCAAAATGACCACCAGAGGGATATATTGTGAGTCGAGAGGGGACGTCAAGGTAACCAGGGCAGCACAGCTACAGACCTCGGAAGCAGGACTGCAGGGCTGCTTTGGAAAGCAACAGGAATGGAAAGGCAAGTGTGTTCAAAGAGAGCAGGATGATGTTGAAGGGGCTCATGGTAACGCGTCTTTCACCAAAGTAATCTGTAAAAATTTAAGCACACCATAGTTTGAGACCGTCTTCCACAGTTTCAGGAGTTTCTGATGTCTGATCACTGCGGTGTGTCGGGAAGTAGCAAGAGGGGGCATCTTCTTTGGGATGGATGGGGCATTACAGCCTGGGGACAGAAGCGGGGAGAAGCCAGGGGCTGCAAACCTTTCGGAGTACAGGGTCACCTCCACACCCACAGCCTGGCTTTGTGTGCTGCTGGCGCTGCCGTGAGTGGCTCTGCCCAGCTCAGGAGAGGGACTGAAGGCTCAGCTTTGCCACCAGAGCATGACCTTGAGCCTAGAGTGTTTTCTCTAAGGCAAAATAACTCCTACCTTCCGTCCTTCCAGCAAAACACCTTTTAAAACCATTTTTATGTGTTTGGTACAGGTTCTCACTACGCATCTCATTCTTATAGTGATCCTCCTGTTTTCAGTCTCCCCAGCACTGGGATTATAGGCCTGCGCCACCACGCCCAGTCTCAGTGGCCAGCGTGGGGCACCTGGGGCAGGGCTGGTGCTGGCATGTGGTGCCTGGGACTGAACCTGGGTCCCTGAGCTTGTCAAGCAGGTGCTTAGACCTCTGAGCTGTCTCGCTGGCCCCAAACACCTTTTCATAGTGTTTTAGTTTTTCTTTAGCGAGGATGAAATGATTTATGAATTTATATTGCTTCTGTCTTTATTGCACTAAAAGAGTTACAAGCAACAAGGAAAATGCAAGGCAGAAGATGGAGAAGGTCTTTTTCTACTCTTCATTCTGAGAATCAGGCGCTTCTACCTGAGGAGAGACACCATGTGTAGCCCTCTCTTCTGTCTCCTGATCCAGCCCTATACTCCTCAGGTATGGCAGCACTTTGTAGGTATTATAATTGTTTCCTGTGTGCCCCACGTCTGGGTAGCAAACCCCTGGAATAGAAGGATATGTTGGGCTAACTGTTGAACACAAAGCACTGAAATTTGCAGTTATGACATTTTGACTTTTTTTTTCCCAAAGAATCTCTTTAACTATAACTCTGAATTCCTCTTTGGTAGCTGTAGAGATAAGTTTATATACACAAGTGCCTATTTATACATTCACGTATGCACTTAAAAATCTAATTTTTTAGCACCTGGGAAGCTGAAGCGGAAGGACTGCTGTGAGTTCAAGCCCAGCCTAAAATGCATGGCGAGATCCCGTCTTAAGAAAAAATCTAATTTTTATAACCCCAGCTTGGGAGCAAGCCACAGCGCACTTCGTAGTCCGTGTCATCTCTGAGTCATTTCACGTTACACAGCCCTGAGGAGGGTGAGGCAGGAGAGAGCCATACCCCATAGTGGCCAAATGCGTGCGGACAGGCAGGACTGGTTGGGGCCAGGGCTCCTTCTCTGCAAGACTCCAGGGGCAGCGCTCTCTCTGGTGCAGCCTCGGGCCTGCGTGTCCACCTGCCACCCAGGGCGGTGCTCTAGCTACTAGGCTGCTGGCTTCTATCGCAGAAGCTGCAAGCCGGGCAGGAGGACCAGAAGACAGGAAGCAGCTACTTTGCGATCGCCAGCGACTTTTTCCCACCGGGCTCCAGGGTTCAGCTCCCACTGTTAATTTTCGAGCTTGTGCTTTCCTTAGGTGGCGTGTACTTCGACACCTCGTGGGCACCCACTGCTAATACACCTGAGGCTGGCCCAAAGTGGTGTCACTAAACACACGCAGCTCCAGCAAGAGCAGACAGCAAGGTCTCTAACTTTTGGATAAAGCTCCTGTTTGAATCATCTCTACCACTCTTCACTATAACTCTGAGGGTTTACGAAAGATTTGAGGATTCTGGACTACAAGTGCTTGAACACAGGCTTATGATGACCATCTCAGAACAGCCTCCCTTGTGGCAGGAATATACACTTTGCCGATTCTTTGGGAAAACCCAATTGTTACGCCAAACAATAAACAAAACCCCAAAGGAACAGGCCTCTCTTTGTTATCTCTTCTTCCCTGGAGGAATCACAGACCCAGAGCCCAGGGCTGAGTGAACCCTGACAGCAGACAGAGCTTCCTTGAGGGAGGCAGGGCTCCCAGCTATCCACGCAGGACACTCAGCTCCTGCCTGTTACACCCCCACTTCCAGCGCGCTGTCACATACCCTTATCGTACCAAACGCACGCACACAGACCCTGCTCACAGATGGCCTGTCCTCCACAACTGGCCCAGAGAAGGCGGACGTAGTGGTGTAGACCTGTAACTCTAGCACTCCTGAGGCTGAGGCAGGAGGATTGCTGCAAGGTAGAGGCCAGCCTGGACTGCACACTGAGTTCAAGACCAGCCCGGACTACATGGTAAGCCCCTGTCTCAAAAACCCCAGAATAGGGGCTGGAGAGATGGCTCAGTGGTCTAAAGCACCTACTTAGAACAAGCTTGGCAAAGCACAGGGACTGCGGTTCAATCACCCAGCACCACATGCCAGCCAGCCCTGCCCCCTGGTGGACTGAGCTGGCCACACACACACACACACACACACACACACACACACTAAATAAATAAAAATAAATAAAATAAAAAACCCAGAATAAATAAATAAAAAGTAATAAAGCAACATTGAGCTTACAACCATCACTTAGGTTTCCTGTCTCTGTCAGGTTGCTGTCCTTGGTGAAATCCACTGCAGCACCTGAGGCACAGGAAGGGGCGAGGGGACAGTTCAGCCACCTGTCCCACAGTGATGACTGATGTTTCAGCCCCCATTCTTCCTTCCAGATACGGTCTCATGAAGTTTAAATGTTTACAGGACTGAAGAAAAGTCATGTCCCAATTATGGGGGAAAAAAATACAAGTCAGGTCCTTTGTATAACTGAGGAGTGACTTTCTTCTCCTAATCCTCAGTAACTCTCCCTCGTCTGTCTCCATCTCACCACTTATCAGAGTCTAGGCTGCGACACTGCCTTTGATGAGCTCGCTTCATCTGCAGTGAACGCGCAAGGAACCGGTGCCGATCTGCTCTCCATCTGGGGGCTCTCTCGCGCGGGCGAAGCACTCCCTGAGCCATGGATGGGGACAGGCAGCTGTGAGCCCCACGGCTGTGTCCTGTGCCTGCTGGCTCCCGGGCCCCACGCCACGATCCAACGCGGCCCCGCTGCTGGGGCTCGCAGGCTGCTGGCGGCTGCGCGGGCTGCCCTCCGCCAGCCTGTCCTGCCCGCTGGCCGCCGCCCACCAGGCGCCGACAGCGCCCCCGTGCGGCCTCGGAGCTCCGCCCACACTTCAGAATCGTCCTGAAGGAAGGCAGTGGCCCCCCAGGAGAAGCCGGGGCCAGGAGGGGCTCACCTGTGCCGTCACCCCGCTGCTGGCTGCTGCTGTCCTGGTCAGGAACAGAGCAGGGCGTTAAGGACAGGGTGCTGCCTCGGGGTGAGGGAGCCTGACCTGTAATTCCAGCGCTCTGGAAGGCTGAGGCAGGGGTAATCTCAATTTATGGCTCAACCAGGGGAGTTTAGCAGTCCCTGTCTCCAAATTAGGGGGGGGGGCAGGGATGCAGCTCTGTGCGAAGGCCCTGGGTTTAATTCCCAGTACCAGAAAGGAAAAGAGACCGGTATTCAAGGAGGCCACGCATTTCTCAGGGCGTAATGGGTTCCTCTTGGGAAGAAAGGAAGAACCGAGGGACAGGGAGAAGGGGCGGCATGGAGTTGAGTCTCGAAGTACAACAGCACCCTGAAAGCTTGCAATAGTGGACCCTGCTCCACAACAGCTGCGCCTCTGGAACTGGAAGGGGGTCTCCCGCAGAGGCGCGCCTGCAGGGGGAGGACCCAGAATTCACCTGAGCGGGCTTCCCACCGCATCCCGCACTTTCCACTGTGTGACCCCGTCCTCACCAGCAAAATGAGCATAATCATAGGATTACAGGACGGCTGGCTGCATTTTAAAAAGTGAGGATTTTAAACATT